AGGCTGGTTTTCTCAGGGTAGGAGCCACTACACTAGGGTGTCCCTGGGGAAAGCTCCCTCCCCTTCCACACCAGTCCTTTGACTTTAGTATATGACTCTGATGGTCATCAGAGGACTCTGGATGTTACTGGCACATGTCAGGGATGCACCAGCAGCACCTCAACCCTTTAAACATCCAGGCTGGGGTGACATTTAAAAGTCAGGTCACCAGAGCAAAGTAGGTCAAAGTAGTGCAAAAGCCACATGCTGAGCCTGAGTGCTGGGTGGCTCTAACCACCAGCATAGCAGCAGCTATCTATGGGCAAATGCTCCAGCAGCATGACTGCCATGGTTAGGGGCTGCAATGCTTGCACACCCTCAGAACAAATTCCTTCCATTGGCTGCAACTACACTGTGGGTTCTGGCCTCTATGTGACCTTTCCGAAACCTGCACAGCAGGAAAAGGGGCTTTTGTTTTCACCTGCTTCCTGCAAAGAGGAACTACACAACAGTTTTCCTTACACTACTTACAATTTAGAGAGAATGTGAGTCAACGTACATGGGGGTCTGGCCTGGGCTAGGCAGGTGGTGACTGCTTACACCAGGGGTAGGCAAAAATTTTTGATTGGGGGGGCACTCCAAGAATTTGGAAAAAGTGATTGATGACTGCACTCTTCCATGATATTAATGGAGGACGTGCAGGGTCTGGGATGGAGGTTGGGAGCAAAAGGGAGCTTGGGCTATGGGAGGGAGTTGTGGCCTGGAGTACAGGGGGTTGAATTGTGACGTGGGTATGCAGGGATTAGGGTTGGGATCTAGGGCAAGGGATGGGGGTTCCAGATCTGGGAGGAGATTATGGCTACATCTAGACTGGCATGATTTTCCGGAAATGCTTTTAATGGAAAAGTTTTCCGTTAAAAACATTTTCGGAAAATAGCATCTAGATTGTCACGGACGCTTTTCTGCAAAAGCACTTTTTGCGGAAAAGCGTCTGTGGCCAATCTAGACGTGCTTTTGTGCAAAAAAGCCCCAATCGCCATTTTCGCAAAACAAATCTCAGCTGTCTACACTAGCCCTTTTGCACAAAAGGGACTTTTGTCCTAGCAGGAGCAGCATAGTATTTCCACAAAAAGCACTAATTTCTTACAGTAGGAAGTCAGTGCTTTTGCAGAAATTCAAGTGGCCAGTGTAGACAGCTGGCAAGTTTTTCCAGAAAAGGCGGCTGATTTTCTGGAAAAACTGGCCAGTCTAGACACAGCCTATGGATACAGGAAGGGGCAGAGGATTTGGGTATGTGAAGTTGGGGAAGGATTAGGGTGCTAGAAGCAGGCTCTGAACAGAATTTACCGGTTCCTGACTCTGCCTGCCAGTGGGCCCTCTAAACAGCACAGCTTCACAGGGGATTAATAAGCCCCACCCATGCAGTCAGCACCCTGCACAGAGCCCTGAGCCTGACTGCGTGGGACAGATTAATCACACTTCTGCATCCCCCCCCTGCAGAGGGAGCAGCCATGTGCTCTGGAGCCCTTTGTGTTTAGAGGCTGCCCATTATTGAAACAGGCAGTTCCCATTGGCCGGTTTCTGGCTGGAAATCAGTCAATGGGATTGTGCTGGGGGCGGGAGCAGCTCCTAAAGCTTTCCTCCCTCCATTCCAGGCTCACAGTTTTTAAAGGAAAACTACCCCACGGCTGTGTTTTTGAGCGACGTGCAGGTGGGGTGAGGCAGGTAGGGTTGCCAGGTGTCCAGTTTTTGCCCAGACAGTCTGGTAATTGTGTCTTCTGTCTGGTAAAAAAAAAAATTCCCTGCCATGTTCGGGATTTTTTGTGAAGGTATCTGACAATCCTAGAGGCAACTGAGGAACCTGCCTGGGGCGTCCCGCAGCGTCTGTATTTTGTCTGGGCCAGACCTAACTATGAGAAACTTGGGGCAGCAGGCCCTTTGCCTCTCAGACAGGCCTGTGGATTTCAACAGGACTGCTCACTGCAAGTGAGGATATTACACTTTGGGCCTAATGATGCACTGCACTGTGGGGCCCTGAGCTGCTGCTTCCAGGGGGCCTTTTTTAATG